TACTGCTTTAGACTCCTCCGGCCGTATCTCGCCACAATGTTCGGCGCTATATCTCTCATGGAGCGCAAACAGTTGAAGCGCATGAGAACCCCGAATGGCACGTCAAGACCTGGACTTCCTTTTAAGGTTCTTTCTCGACCTAGGTCCACAATCCTTATCGTACCCGGTACTCCCTTCTCAAGCCGACACCGACTCAGCTATCCTGATAGGTTCGGATGCATCAACAACGGGTCTGGCTGGCTTCATGCGGAAGGGTGGAGTCTGGCACTACTGGTCTTTAAACCTGGACGACCTACGCCAGGATGTCAGAACGGGCCTCCTCGAACCAGCCCCCCACGGTAGTCACAAGGACATGTGCTATCTGGAATTACTTGCGTCACTCATGACCTTGTCCTTACTAAGTCACTGCCAGCTGACAACTCGAGTTATCGTCCAATGCGATAATCAAGGAGCGGTAGCAATTCTCCGGAAAGGATATAGCCCCAAGAGGAGAGCCCAATGGCTCCTACGGCACGCCGCGAGTTTCCTATTTAAACTTTCACCATCAATATCCTTCCACTATATAAGCTCTCAAACTAACTCACTGGCAGACAATCTGTCCCGGGGTGCCAACGTGTCCTTACCTCCCAATTGGATGGCCTGCCCTCCTCCCCTCGAGTGGATCTGTTCTGATCTCAATTGACAAACACTGTTTGTTCATCAGGTAATCGCAAATCCTTTTCTGCTACCCAACGCCAAGTGTTGGAACAGAAGAATCTGAACGATGCCGAGCTCTCGAAATTTCTGAACTCAGCGTTGGCTCCAAGAACCCGACAATCATATGACTCGGTTATCCGCCGGTACACCGAATTCTGTCTGCCCTACCAGTCCTTCCCCTTACAAGTACCGCATCTTCTGAACTTTGTTCACGCTTTATCAATGACCGGCTTTCACAAGGGGAGTACAATCGACAACTATGTCCGAATCCTGAGGGCCACAAATCTTCGCCGTGGTTCTGAACTAAGTGCACCGGACCTGTTCGCCATCAAAGATGCAGTCAAAGCTGCCAAGAAGCGAGCGGGAGGAACCGAGCCCGCTCAGAAACGAGCATTCACTAAAAGTGAGATCATCGGCATAGGACAAGCTGAGACGATTCCCGGTCTCATCGGGAATCTGCAAGAACTACAGGCGGCAACTTTGACTGCAATATTTGGTCTCCTGCGGTGCAGAGAAGTTCTAACATTGAGACGCAAAGACGTCACCTTTCACAAAAGCCATGCTTCTATCACAATTCGGGGATCCAAAACTGACCAGTATAAAACCGGTCACACCGTCGTCATCGGATGTTTGGCAAAAACTCGGCCGGAAACATGCATGGAGAGATCTTGCCCCTGCCAAAGACTCAAGGCTTGGTTCGTGACCTGCTCCGGCGACGCCGACACCCTGCTCTTTCCAAGGAGACGATATCAATATGTATTATTTGCCATGGGGCTGTAGCTCGACTCACTTGCTGCATAGGTGAGACTGGATCAGGAACCCTATCACGGAGGGCACTCTGGGCACTTAGCGACCACTTCATAAGTACACCTCCACATCCATAGAAAATAACATAACTTGCGGAACGTTTCTACCGTAGCCTGAGTATTACGATGCCCAATAGCATGAACTTTATTGATAAGCTCTTCCAAATAAGCCGGAGAGATGATCAGTAATAGTTTTCGTGGGTTTCCAGCCCAGTATTACTGGGCAGTAAACATGATTGTTGGCTAGTCTAAACTCATGACTAATCTTTGCATACTCTGCTAGGAATGGAGAAGTCGGTCTGATAAGAAGACCCCGCCTGAGGGCATCCTTCACAATGCGTAACCCTTTATCTTTCTCTTGAAGTCTTTTTACCAATGACCAGTCAACAGACAACTTCAAAGGAATACGATTGCTCTCCTGACACGCAGCACAGCAATGATCCCCCACTTCTGCTAGGTACGATACAAATTTAGGTGAATCCTCATCGTACTTGGTGTTAGCCAGCGCTAGTTCATGTCCTTTATACGATCAACTTAGTATGTAGATCATTACAAGCGAGCCTATCCCCTCGATTGGAAGCTGATGGGACATATTGTATGATAAAACGAGACCATTCACTGGAGGGTAGAGTTAGACAGTTCTCTCGCTTACTAACCGCCGCAACCCGCTTGGTACAGAGAGTAGTCTTCACAACTTTATTGTCGGTATTGACAACAATTCTCCGGAACCTGCATGAAGACAACTGCTCGAGTCCATGTACTGCAGCTATACCAGCATAAACCGCCGACATCTCCTTAACTACTATAGCGACATTCAACTTGCCCTCCGGAAAGGCCACGCTAGATTCTTCAAAGACCTGTAGCTTACCATCAACTTCCTGGGATAGTTCATAGGCAGAGACCCATCAACTGGCGTCGGCTGACAGGATCACGTCTTCATCAAGATCATAGAGTCTCAGAAGTATCAATGTCCCTGTGGTAGTAACATACGCATGCCATTGACGGAATAAGCTAAACATTCTGTCGGAGACCATTGAGCGCCATGAAACTTGCCGTTGATAGCGCTCTCGAAGATACTAGTCCTTGTAGAGTATGTTTAAACAATAAATTCCAAACACCAGCAGTGACAACGTCGGGCAAGTTACATAAAACAGACAGGACACCACTATAGGAGAGTGTTAGTTGGCCAGAAGAAAAAGAATCTCTCAATTTTACCCACTGTTTAACGGGGAATTTGAGAGTTTTCTCATGATCACTATACACAACTCCCAGAGCTTCAACATAATCAATGGCAGTGTTTCCCACAGTGTTTTTTGATATCATTGGAGTGCGTATCATGTTCATGTGTAATATCATTAAAGATATCTTCAGCTTCAAAACGGGGCGTCATCCTCAAGTAGATTATCCATATGGCAGAAATCATCCATAAATGAGGTTGAGTAGGTTGATGTCCAAGAAACACCATCCATCACATGCCTCCTCATTACTGCATCCAACTTAGACATAACGTAACCAATCGAAATTTCCCAGTCTTGAGAGCTTGTGACGGTCCAAACGATACAACCGTGAAAAA